AAAGAGCCAAAGAAACAGCCAAACACACACTGAATAAGCCTCTTTCTTCAGCACTTCAACCCTAGGTGGAACAGGGCGTGTTCGGACGTCTCCCGCACTTTTGAGTTGCTTCAAGCATTAACTAATTTCATGTGATCGGTCTATGCGTCCGCCATCTCGAACGAATCAGCTGATTTGTACTAAATTGCGCTTGACCTGGCCTTTCTTTCGGATAATTTCTCAGGCCCTCCTAACTGACCACTACTGCTTTATGCTTTCGATCACCCTCACGAAGGACGATCACATAAAACCACCGGTTCGGCTCTCATAACGGCAAACGTTTCGAGGGCATCCGATGTCAATTAGCTTCGGAATTGTTAAGTGTTCACCTCATTCCATGCTTTTAGCACATTCTCAACATTTCGCTCACCTCGGGCGAAGTATGCCCGAGGTGGGCGGTGGGCAATGTCGACTCATGTCAAAGGAACTACACAGAATATGTAGTAAAAACCTCTTAAAATTTTTTGGGAATGAGTGTTCATCTACTCGTGGGAATTTCAACTCATCGTCGAAAATAACGAATTTTACCCTTTGAGTGCAGACATCCTCGCTTTCGATGAGGGCTATGTATCTCGCAGTAAACCGCATGCGATTCCATTCATGTGGGTACAGATAGAATCGCGGAAAATCAACAACGTGATTGAAATTGTCCGTTATGTAAACAATGATTTGAGGCTAAAAAGAGTTTATGAAAAATTCGACAGTAATGCAGCTCGTTGATTGAAGAATTCGAAACTCAAACTTCGGCGTGCAACTTACTTGGGTAAAATTGTAGTATGGATTAGTAATGCTTGGAGGCGCCTTCAGGCTCAATATTATTCTTCCGATGTCGTCCGCTTCCGTCTAGAACTTGCGTTTATTATGGTGGGTAAAGGATAGAAAAAATATAATGTACTCGGCGTTGGTCCACCCAATGGTGTCGTGCCGTGCCACTGGCCAACATGAGGAATTGTGATTTGATTAGCTTCGACTCGTTTTTGAAAGATAACAACGGTTGCAGCTTTTGTGCCACGTTACGCAACGTAGCTACTCGCAGTGCATGGCTAATTAACACGTAACCGACGGCGGCGTTTGCGTGAGCGAGCCTGTGTTCCGGCCGGCTACTTTACCACCTCTCGCGCGCGGCACCCAGGATAGGTTTTGTGCAAGCTTGTGCTAATGGCGCTGGAAACCATGTTTTTGTGCCCGAACTTTCTAACCTAAAGGGAATTCGAGCTGTTGGCATCCATGTAGCCCTCCATTCTGATACTTCACTTCAGTGAGAGCAGGTTTAGTGAACAAAAAGAAGCTACTCCAGATTGATCTCCGGACACCACGAATCCAGCAACTTTTAGATAGGGAAGCGACATTTGTAGGGAGGGTCCTGGATAGGGAACCATTACCAAGCCTATTAGCATACGGAGGAAATTGGATATGCGAGTTTGTGGTATAACAGCACGCTATTTCACCAGAGCCCAGATGAGAGCAGAAGCAACGCAGCTCTGAATCGCATCACTTCAAGAAAACTTCCGCTAGAAAGTTCCTGCACATATTTCCTTATTCTTACTTATTTACGAGTTCTCTGTGTTTTGCGCTTCCGGGTGTTCTTACGGGTATCCTTACATCGGGTTGCGTGCAATTCCTAGTCATACTTCTCAGGTATCTCTTTTTCTTTGATTTCCTTTGTTTCTTTTTCTATCGTCGCACAAAGCCATGATTTCTAGGGTGCAGGTTTTTAACCTCTAGCTGTTTTTGAAATACTATGGTTATTGTTGAAATGTAGTGAGTAATAGGGAGAAATTGTACTTGAAGATGGTTTCATTGGGAACGTTGAAGATTTGCAAATAATGAAATCCACTTTCGCTACGAATGAAGTAAAAAGCATTTATACCTAAGTTTTTTTCCATCAAATGCAAATATCTTGAAACTCACAGAGTATTAACTTCTTCTACAATCTTTCATATGAATGTTTACGACAGTGAAAGGAATACTAGGAAAGAATTGAATGAAAGTTTTGTGCGTTCAGAAAATCTTTGCTAAATCAAGGATATTTGACCACTCTAGCAGCCATGTGGTTTATAGTTATGCTAATGTATTAGGTTGGTCCATAAGTCTTGCAACAAACTGGCTAAATTTTGATTTTAATATTTTTGTTATCTTTTTGTTCCATTCATCCAGCATGATACACACCATCAATATCTACAACCTATTGCCAACGCACTAGAAGCTGTTCGATGCCTCTCTTGTAGAACTGAATCTGATCGAAGAAAGATCAGATGTCGATTTTGACATCATGATGGTTAGGATGAGATTTCTTCTCTAGGAGATGGTCTGGAGAGGGAGCAGGTGGGCATCCTTTGGCACGAGGTCAGGGCTATAAGGTGGATACGGAAGAACTCTCCGTCCGAGAGTCCAAAATTTTCCTGGATTTTCTTAGCAAGAGGTGGTTCAACGGTGTCATAAAAAGCAAACTTTGCCTTGTTTTTCTTTCGTATTGAAAGCGTTGCATTCGAGTTGTGGACGCGTTGACTGCGACATCTACATGTAAGGTTATCAGAGCTCAACTCCTCTCGTGTTCCACCAAGAAATCCAAGAAGGCCCTGCTTTTTTAGAGGAAGATGACGCTCTTCACGGAAATTATCAGAGTGGTGATCGCGCCACTCATACCGGTTGTTCTCATCGTCTTACTACTTTTGTGTGAGAAGTTCCGTCCACGAGAAGATAACTTCGAACTCGTGGGAGACCCATCAGCGTGGCCTTCGTTCCGCAATGACTATGTCACCTACTTCGCAAATAGAGGTTGACCGAGTTTGGAAACCTTGTCAGGAAAAGTCCATGAACAACTTCGGTGAAGATAAGTACCCTATTAGATTTGCCTTCTCAACCTGATGGATGGCAAAATATCAACTTCAACGAGGTTGAAGTTGAGCAGTAAGAATTCCCGAAGCGTTTGGGCTACTCATCGTCGACAATTGTGGATGATGGTGGGTGGATGGGCTATCTAAGAATCCATAGTAACCCGACTTGAACATGATGATGTCAGATCGTGTTTGGAGCTGATTCGGGCTCAAGGCATGTGGGATCCAAACTCTATATTTTCGGATCTTCACAAGTCTTTGGAGATGCCACAGTGCTGTATCCTTGTCGCATCGGAATTGCTCTGCAAATGATCGATAGTCTATCCAGATCCCTTTTCAACAGCGTCAGATAGAGCATCGTGATTGTCAGTCACGGGGTGGTTGGAGTGTTCATTTCAAATAAAAAAAAGTCAACGCTGAGCAGAGTGAAGCGCCTTGCACCGTGAATTGAGAGAGCGTGCCCTCGCCCATCTTCTGGCTAATCCTTGGTGTAGCATGACTTGCGGAACATTCCAAGCAGTACTCGTAAAATATGAAGCACGAAGACCTTTCGCGAAATCAATGTAATATCCATAACAATTCGCGAGGGATGGTTGGCTGAAATTGCAAAGGTGGATGCTACGTAAGCAAACATGTTGCGGATTTTCGGAGTTCTCACAAAAATTTTCTAGCATTAAATGTAATTTGTTGCAAGACTTATGGACCAACCTAATATTATCTATGGAATGAATACAAAAAACTCGAGAAGAAGGAGCGTAAGCGCCATTAAGGTGAATAGCATGGTTCTGACGCGCATGCGCGTCAGCCTATCGTCAACGTGTTAATGCAAATACGTAGAGTAAAGGGGTGAATACAAACCTAGTCGCATGACAAGATATATGTTCTCACTGAAACAACCACGTCCAAAATAATTTTGGAACCACTAAAGGGAAAGTAAGTAAAATTTGCCTTTTCATGGCCTTAACACGTCATTTCGGTCGAACTTCCATTACTGTAACTCCCGATAAGTTAGACAGATCGAACATTATTGAAAACACTTTGTCGCATCTAAGTATTGCGTATTTACAGCTCAAAATCCACGGATTTGTGTGAGGCGGCGGCGCTCGCAAAATCGCTCTGGTCCCACGCGGCCAAAAAGCCAAAACGCGCGATGTCGTCAACGTGTGAAAAATGCGCTGTGCATTTTTGGTTGTAGCAATGCAAGGGGATGGTTGGATACTGTCATCACATTTATGTATTCTGGAACGTATAACAAGTACCTGATTGACAAATTTTCTTGTCTGAAAGCAAATTCCTCTCCTCATAACCACTTGCCGCTCAAATAAATCACTACAGCAATTCATGATTTTTCCAGCCAATTGACATTCGCGAAATAACTCATCGCAGGCGTACCCGTACTTTTCCTGAAGGTAACAAGGCTTAAAATTATTTCAAGTTGTCAGTGATACCTATCGATTACCTGTATGAGATTGAAGAATTCCTCAGTTGTATAACCATCGGACCAAATTTTGTACAGCTGATTTAAGTGGCTCATGTACGTTCGGTTGAAGTAGGATAGATCATCCATGTTCTCCAAACCATTGCCACCAATAAAAAACCTGGAAACCTGGCCTCTTCAGTTTCAGTTTCGAAAATTTTACGAAAACATCAGTTGTGATCGCTTCTCACAAGAGCTTATTGTTTACTCAAGCGATCGCACAGCAAAAAACAAGTGGGTGGGAGGAGGCTGTCAAAGAATAAATCCCGAGCCGCTTCTGATGCCTTATCGTACAGGGGCGGTAAAGCGCCCTGAACTAGCAAGCACAAGCGGTGATTTTTCCCAGTTGGCGAGGAATAAGGAGCGTGAAAACCTGGACACTACTTGAAATCGCTACCCTGCCACCTACCTGCAAAAGTTGCGCCACTCGAATTGAATCTTAACTCTTAGTTTTTGCCAGTGTACCAGTTACCACTTTACTACAGCATTGGAAGGGATGTTGAAAGCAGGTAAGCAACAGATGTTGCTTGCAAATCTTATTGTTAGAGTTCTCGTGATCTTAGAGTTGCTCCAGCAAACCTTGCCAGCGGCAGCGTGGAACACTCATAATGCATGCCGCTCATGAGCTACACTGCACTTGCCAGTTTTGCCAGTGAACTAGCATCGTTCAATTCACCATGGAGGAAGTGACGAGCATCGGCCACGTGGCCTGCAACGGGGAGCGCACACACATGGAGTTCGAATCTCCGCGTGCAAACGCTCCCCTCGCAGCGGCCAAGAACCCAGGAAGGGTGCATAAAAGTTCAGAACCAATTTGGCGTTGAGACCCAAGCCCTAAACTGATAGAGCTCTGAATTGCCTGGTTACAAGTACGAAAATAAATGCTATTGCAACTTACCGAGGCAAACTGGTGAGGCGTATTACTGATGTGACAAACGACATTTGGATATACCATTTCCACTTGAAAATGGACATCGTTCAAATCAAAGTTGTTGTTTTTCAAAAAATCGTGGACATTTTTCAATTCGACCCGGAGATTTTTCAAATAGCTCAGGACGATTTTCAATTCGACTCGGATTTTTTTCAAATCACCGTGGACATTGTTCAATTCAAAATGGATCTTTTCATATCAAGCTGGACACCCCACAGATAATGGCACGGTGGTCTTCATTCATTCGCGGTCTCATTCATTCGCGAACGTAAATCCTTCTCAATCATCGGAAAATAGTTCTCGAGAAACAGAATATTTCTCTCAGCCAACAAAATAGTATATTTTCGAGTAGAACTTATGCGAGTTTTCCAACAGTTCAAACACAAAGAACACAAATCAACCCGTTTAGTTGTGAAAGGGTTGTCCAGTTGCCAAGGCAGTTAAATTTACCATCACAATGATGACGTACTTGACAGAATTCTACTTCGTCCTCTATACTTTACGCCTTGCACTTTCTACACTCTTCCTTCTTCTTTCTTTCTCTCCTTCGTGTCACAGACACGGAGCGGAAGCGATAGAAGAAAATCATATTTTAAAGGACCGCTTATTCCAGTCAATCGAGTTTCTGCTCTTTTCAGCCTTCTCTCACCAAGAGAGCTGGTCTGTGTCCATTGACTTCGCACGCCTACCTCCTGGCCACGTTTGGCGTTTTCGTTTGCCAGTATATGCGTAGCGATTTGAGACAGAAAACATGGCGGAAAGTACAAGAAGTCGTATAGCAAAGGTAGTGAAAGAGTCGGGAAGATGATCTCCTTGACCTGCTGGATAAAAAGGCCTGATAACACGCTCTATACAAAACTAATTGGCCTTTCATTATACATGGATTTTCAACTTTTGTTTTCAGGTTGAAGATACTAGCACATCCGCCAACTTTTAATTAAATATTATCAAAAAATAGTACTTCGACTTTTTCGAAGACGTGTCCAGTTTGGCTTGGAAAATCCTCACGATGCTTTGAAAAGTGTCCTAAACAATTGGAGCAGAATTTCCTCCCATGTCGGCCGGCTCATACTGCATAAGCGACTATGTGCAAAATCCTGGTCAGTGCGGAGAGAAGAGTCGCTTAGGTAAATAAAGACTGCGTTTCCTTCAAAATTTAGGAGGAATTGGGTGTCTTCTCTCGAATTATACAAGGAGTCCGAACAAAGTCCGTACTGAAATGCGGCCTTCCGTGAGCAAAACCACCGTGTGGTGAGTAAGCCAGCAGAGCAATAACATCTTCAACGGATTGATGAAGAGCGTTCCAAGATTATTTGAGCGCTACAAGATCGCAAGTCTCCATTTCTCCGTGGAAAAGGGCTCAACTTAATGAGCGATGGTGTGGCTGTTAAGACCCTTCGCGATCTTGGACTCTACCTCCTTGTTTCGTTCTACAGGTGGTCTGAGATCGACGTGGAAAAGTTTATTCTAGGTGGATATGGCAGAAAAAGAGGGTACAGGATGATCGCGTGAAAATCGCAGATGGTTTCAATGTAACGTAATTTCGGCGGTGAATCCCTTATGGTTTGAGGCACCTTTGAACGACTGAGTAGCTAGAGCTCGCTTTTGTTTCCGTTCACAAAGATTCCACAGGGTATCGTGAAGTTCTTTCGAAGCGAGTCTTACCATTTTTTCAACAAGGATCCCCTCTATCCTTGATTTTCACACACGATAACGCGGCTGTCCATGCCGGTCCCTCCGCGCCAGATGGAATTGCAGGAAAAAATGTGGCAGTTATCTGGTGGCCACCATGTTATCTGAATTAGATTCCAATAGAGAATCATTGGGCCTTAATTGTTATAAAGTTCCACAGCAAAGTAAAGCAAAATGGAACAGCCGAAAAGCTGAAAAAGGTCGATCATCGGCGCCCAGACGAATTTCGATCCTACTGTAATAGCTAATTTGGCTACCAGCATTTCAAAACGTATTATTGTGTTCCTTATGATTATTGGGGGGTCATCCCATTATTGAAAATTCGTGACGTTTTTTCGTTATAGTAAAATCTCTCGACAAGTGATGTGTAGTCATATTTGCGAAACGGTGAAAATACGTTCTAAGGAAGATATTTTAATAATTCTGAATCGAGATTTCTCCAGAAATCAAGTATCAAGGTTTTTCGTTATGGGGAAACTATTGGTAATAGCGGCATTTTCCAAAAATGCACAGCAACTTTGGAATAGCAAAAAATTAGGGTGGACCTATATTTATGAAACGCAGTGTATTGGCAATTGCCAGTTGCCAGTGAACTAGCATCGGTCAATTCACCGTGGAGGAAGTGACGAGCATCCCCACGTTGCCTGCAAAACGCGTCACACATGAGTTCGAATCTCCGGTGTAACGCGCTCAAAGTTGGCTGTTAACGCAGTGTTGGTATATAATAATTTTGATAAAGGCCTACTTGCAAGGGATTCTGATGCCCCTCTGATGCCCCTAATTACGAGGATGATATCTATTCCTGGCGTCACTTGGCAATCTGGAAGCATCAATTTAGAACGCAAAGTTTTGTCACCAAACGGAATCGAACTTGGAACTACTTTCATCGATGATAACTTCCTTGGCAGGTTCACAAAGCAATTTTGGTCTTCACATTTGTTATCATCATCCGAGACTATCGATTCACCTAGGTTCAATTCAAAGTTCCATGTAAAGTTGAAACACTTTATTAGTGAGGAGCTTTCGTTGCCGGCGAGTAACGGGTTGTGGAGAAAAGGGAGTAGCCTACGAAGGATGCAAAGTTTCAAACATCTTGGGAAGTAATGCCTTGAACTATCCAGTACCGATGTAGAACGATGGCATTACACCATTGCAATGCATCGGGGTCCCTCCCTTTCCCTTTGACCCGCGGACACTAGCACTTTGGTGGCCATCTCTAAAATCTGAGATATGTTAAAAGTGGCCACATTCGAAGTGCCAGCATGCCTGCGTCTTCACCCCTTATACACTACTTCTACTTTCTTTGCCGCCTTGTTTTCTCTTCTGTTGTTAGTTTTCAAATGGCCGCGCTGCCAATTCGCCTACAGCCACTTGATGATATCACCCCTAACTTTTGAGTGGGTTCGAAGTTTCTTCGGCTACTCTGACGGAGGCATTCCAGGGATTCTCTACGCATGTTTCAGGACCAGGCGGAAGTGGTGTAGTGGCAAGTGGCACGCTTACCACGCGAGCGGTCCGGGGATCAAATCCTGGGTCGTGAGTCGCCCGGGCCAACCAAGCCTTCCATCCCTCCGGGGTCGGTTAATTGGTACCAGACTTGTCTGGGAGGATAAAAAACACTGACTTGCACATCGGCTGCTAACATGGTAACTAGCAGCTGGGGCCAGATCCCTACTGCCTCAGATGTTTTCTCCTATTTGAGGATCAGGATCCCCACTGCGGTGGCATGTGACAGCAGCAACGGCACGGTGACATAGCTTCGTACCACTGTAGCGGTGAATTCATAGCCCAACCTTCTCTTGTATTACATTATCCTTCCAAATAACCCGCATTCTGAGCCCAAGAAATGGTATCGGGATCGAGTTGAAATAAATTGAGGTGAACTAATCAAGAAACATTTAAACGTGCTCACATATCATTTTGCATATAAATACTCAAATAATAATGACCAAACTTCCAACTCGTAACAGAACATTAGTTTGAGGCGGAATCAGCTAGCCGGCTAGCTTTTTTCACGGTAATGGCTTCTTGATTTTTTGTTGGCCACTTTGAATATTTAGTGTCATTCGGGAAGACGCAGTCTGCCGCCATCCTCATAGCAAAACTTGTATATTTGTTGGAAGGCGCATTTTGTGATGGAAAGGCAGCTTGTTTGAAATCAAGGTAGAGTTGTCTGGTGCAGAATAAAGAAATCCAACCTCATCCTTTCGGCTGTTGATTTTCGCAATGATGTGACTCTCATCGATGCTGCCATCATCATTGGATAACACTCCTTCTATTGAATGGCTAGAGTCATTACGGCAATAAAGTGGGCGTGCTGCGGTGCTATCGGCGCAGACACTGCATGGCCGCTGGGGCATGTTCTTCGCTGCGATGCAAACATCGTCTGGAGGCCCCCTGCCCTTTGATCAGCTATATCTCCACTTTCCGGCCTGCGACCTTATAGTGGAGTTTGAGCAGCTTCTCTACTAGCGAAACGCGTACTTGAACACATTTTCAGATGACCATAGTTTCCTTTGCTGTTGACGAATTTTCACTTCCAACGTCAGAAATATTAGAGCAGAGAAGGCTTTTGGAAGGGTGGTGTGCATTCCCAAAGGTACTTTAGGCGGAGGCATAAAATGCAACACACGAAAACAAACTAACGAAAACGCAGAGGCTCTAAGATGAGAGGACATGGAATTCGCTCACTGGCTTACTGACAACGTACTTCTCGTCCTCAGTGAGTAGACCGTCGAAGTGATTCTTATTCTAGACGGTCCCGAGAAGATTCGTGCTCAGTTAAATCGCAGTTGCAACCAGGGTCAACCGACGTTGGACCGATGTTGACCGCTCTCCGCGCCGGCATTCACTCTCGCCACCCGCGAGCCGTCTGTGTCTCCGTGCGTACGTTCACTCTCGGCATTACTCTCGTCGTCGCGTTGGACTTTGTCCAACGGACGGTTGACCCTGCAACTCATGCAGGAGCGACCCGTGTGGGCTGGGCAAACTATTTTCAGGTATTGAACAAACCATGTTGCAATTGTTCGACGATAATGAAGTGGCACTCCTAGGTGCACCGCCAGACAACGCAGATTGACGTGAGTCGCCTTTCACCAGGATGGCAAGGCCGCCTTCGCTTCACGGAAAAGTCTTCAGATTGACACGAGCGAACCATAGATAGGCGCTGTGCCAGAGCTTGATGTGCTGTTGATTAGCACGGTCACTTCCGCGTTAAGGTCAGGCTCTCCGGCTCCACGCAGTTCTCAACGATGGGTCGTATATGGGCTTTTTTGGAAGAGAGTAGTGTATGGGCTTAATAAAGGTCAAAATGTCAGAAAGGTGGACCGCATTTCGGAGTAATTGGTTTTCTTGACGGATTATTGCGAAGCTTCACGAGAGAAGCATAAATTAGATTAAAGAGAGCCGTTGACCATATTTACCACCTACCCACACGACGGCCGTTTTGAAAGGAAAGGTGGGTTAAGTTGGATCGTATCGGCTGATTTCACATGGTGAAAGTGGATACCGGTGGTGGGGTGAGCTTTTGTCGGGAAAAACTCCAAGACTGATGGTTAGGTTAGGGAGTTCATATCGAGACCTCCCCCCCCCCCTGAGAAGGAAAGAGGGTCATCAAATTTACGCGATTGGAAGAACTAATAACAAGGGTCGATCCCGTGAAGCCTAGCTCGTGAAGAAATACTCGTCATTCCCACCACAGATCTAGATATAGGAAAAATCTGTATAAACTCTCCATAGCTCTGAACGCCCTTTTTACGAACCCTTATCTATCGAAGTTTACTTGCAAGCTTCCAGAAATATTTTGAAGGAAAATCCAGAATGATGTTGTAAAATTCTTTTCGGCGGCGGATTACCGGCTTTCCAGCGACACCAAATCGGCGAAGTGTCGATTACTTAAAAAAAAACGAGGACAAAAAAACCGGATAAGTTTCTAATTTTCTGATAAAAAAAGAGGACGAGATGAAAGTTGTTGCACGTTGTACTATGCCGTATTCGTTACTAGTGATAAGATCGTGATCCTTACCGTACTAGATCAAGAGCAGTAGCATCGTCAATTGCTGGAAACGTAACCCGTATGTCACCTAGAAGACCAGTTGCGTTGAATGCGTCCGGCACTTTTGGACAAATGGTGATCGCTGGCAGTTCCAAGCTCTCCACCTGAGGAGACCCGATGATGAGAAAAAAAGTTAATGACACCGTGCAATAAAGTATAGCAACTATGCTGTTAAAAAAAATAAAAACGCTTGAAACAATCCAAAGAAACCTCCTATATTTGCATTGCTGCACTGCGCAACACCGCCGAGTGGTAAAATGATACAACAGTAACACTCTTACTAATCGTATTGTCGTCGATGTGGCTGTCGGTCCTTCAACGTACTCAAGTATCACCAGAGTAGTGGTCACAGACCCACATATTATACATACAACCATGACTATCCACCAGAATACTTTCAGAGCTGTGGTTTCGCTGAGTAGTGCCTGAAAAGGGAGAGTTTAGTGAGGATACAATGCAACCACTACCATGAATTCATATTACAGGCAGGGTCAACCACTACGTTGGTACAAGTACCAACGGGGGGGGGTCGTACTTGGTTTAGCTTGGAAGGGGGGTCGTATCCGCTTCAGTTTGTGGTGAAACTCGAGTTTCCACGAGTAGTAGGCTAGGTGAGTTGGGAGCGCACGGGAGAAAAATTCGCCGTTTCAGCGCGCGTATATACCCCCCTAGAAAATGAAGCAGTGGGATTATAGGGGGTAAATTGGTTGAAATTTAGGGAATTTTGGTAAATTTTTACTGTTTCAGAGTGGGTATATACCCCCGCTCGACGGCATTTTTGGAGGAAAAAGTGGGCGGAGTTTGGTGGGTTGAGTGGTACCAGAATTAAATACTATAGAGAGGATGATGGTGGTCGAGGTGTCGAAAAGGGGGTCGTATCAAATCCACCTTGGGGGAGGGGGGTCGTAAAAATTTTTCAAAAGTAACAACGATAGGACCGACCCTGATTCCAGGTAGTCTGCAATTTGTTAAAGGCAAGCCCCGGGCTGACACTGATGTATGCAAGTACTTTTGGTGATGAGTGAGCTGTGGAATGAACTGAAAGTGGGGAGGAAGCAAGAGAAATCATGGAAACGCTAAAATTAAGGCCTTAACCTTCAGTAAGGTCGGATGTGGTACGATGGCGAGGCGGGGCGATCAGAAGACAAAACACGCGAGAGAGCACGCAATAGCAAGTTCTACTAATGGGACTAATCCCGGGTTCGCCTTCAAAATGTCGTTCATTATAGAATACGTTCGAGAAAGCGTCTGAAAAAGGTAGCTTTTGAGTTCACAGAAGCAATGGACAAAATATGTTAAGTAGCGAGACACGGTATTCACGCTCTTCACCTACTAACTTACGTTAGCGATGGGTGGAACTGTTACTCAGACAAATCTGGAACTCAATTCGTCTTCTCTCCCCAGGTACGGCCCTGCGGTTGCCCCTATGGTATTTAACATCTGAACGTATGTTTGTTGCTCTAGTAGCTTGCATTGTAGAATTCACAACCTTGGGGAAACTCATTTTCAACCTGGGCGCGTAAATATTCCAAATATTACAAATTATATAAAAATATTTCAAGGAGTTGCTGAGCAATGCTACCGAATTTTTACGTGTTGCTAGACTAGAAGTAGCCTATTGAGCTTGAGGCACACGCAATAGTACATGCTGATTTCACTGAAGCTTCCATCGACCAACCTGGCTCAGTCCGTGGATCTCCCCAGTCCACGGTGGTGGATCATTCAAATGGCAGCTGCATTGTTTTTGTGGTTCGGGAAAGTGCATGTGAACCTGCAAAATGTTCACTGCATATCTTATTACAATCAATACAAGGAAACTAATTAATGAAATAGGACATACCCGAGTATTTTGCAGAAGGGATGAAACGGTTGGCATTTTGAGACACAAGGATCAATGCCATATACACACTGCTCCTAGGTTCGGCCACTCAAAGTCTAATCGTCGATTCAAGTACGTAACATGAGACTCGGCCACGGGCACCTGCGGCCACCCTCGTTTCCGTTTGTAGGAAGGGCACATGTGGGTGCGTAGAGGGCGCCAGGAAACAACCTATCATATGTGAAAAACAAATTTGTTGGTGAGCAGGGAAGGAAGTAAACAAAAAGTTTCTCGAGCAATAGTCAACAAGGTCTCAGTTCTCCCTTCTCAGCACTTCATTCTGCAACTGCAGGTGCTCAATGTGATTTTCAAGCAGAACCCCTTTTAGAAGATTCGAGCGAAGTGACGACGAAGCTTCCATCCTGAGAATCGCGTTCGACAGCAGCTGGAAATCCTTTGAGATTTGGCCTTATCAGATGTTAACGATTTCATTCTTCGATGTGTTTCGGGCTCGCGGAGCTCAGCTGAGATCTGCTGTTTTCAGACGCAATAGAGGGCATTCTCCTGCTGCATTTTCGAATAACATCTCTCTCATGGACTAGCATCAATAGCAGTCACGAGGGAATTCGTCTCACGTCCACTGACCATTTCTGATACTCGTACTCATTTTAGTGAAGAAAATAGGTACTTGAAGGCACTGCTATTTAGGAGAGAGAATTGCGACTTCAGACATCGCGCTTATTACATGCTAGTGTTCCATATTTTTTAGTCTTTATCCTTTCACTCATCATTTCTACTGAAATTACATAAATGGCCCTTGTAAAGCCTATGGTCAATTCTTCCATTTAATACCCACTTACTATTCCATTTAAATTTCTTTTAACTCCTTTTATTTCAGTGTAATTTGCTCGGTTTACTCCAGTTTCACTTTTTTCATCTTTTTACTTGATCACCCTAGTTTTTGGCTTTTGTGCGGATATTTCGTCCTTCTCTCTAATCTCATGCTCTTTCCTTTCTTTCTGTACTCCAACTTATTGAGATCAACATAGCTTTGCTCGTCCTCACTCATATCGCTACGTCTCTGATTCTTGCGCCGCTTTCCCAGGGCATCAAACTTCCCTATTCCTTCCTTCCAATCATTATTAACTTGTAAATTAATTTTTTTCATGTATTGCAAGCAATTATCAGTATTACTAATGGAATATATTTCATCCTCCACTTTTTTTTATTCGAACTCATTCTAAGCTGTTCATTTCTCATTTTTCTTACTTCACTTTCGAACCGCTCCGACGTCTTCTTTACATTTTTTCCCCTCCCTACAAATTCCATTCACTTTTTCTTCATTTACCTCAGACATCACTGTTTTGATAATGATATTTTTATTAGAGCAGCGACTTGCTCGGAGTTTCACGGTTCGATCGTAGGCTAGTCAGAGTCTAAACATCTGGTGTCGATTAGTAGTTCCACACTACTCTGGAAAAATCAAAGTATCCTGAACGCAAACTGTTCCTCACAAAGCTCTAATGCTTTCATGAGCATGCAAAAAGTGCTCGACTTGGTCTAGGAATGACTGGTGTGCCCCAAGGGACTTTCGCCCTCTACGCCTTTATCATTATTGTTGTCGGCACCTCTCTTCTTGGTCCTCTCCTCCTATCCTTTTTGTTTTTTCCGGTCACTTCCTACCACTTCTCCTTCGTATTTGCGTGCAGACGACGTTGTTTTCACTGCTCGCCGTCTCTTCCATCCATCGATTTGCTTGTTCCATTTCTTTGTCTGATTAATTCCGACATCAGTCTGCTTTCTAAAGTAACTGTAGCCTTCATGTATTAATGTTTTATTTTGAGAAGTTTGTGGAATAAAACTCAGTGGATCTTCTCCGGATTACAGGGGACATTAAGAAGCTGTGGCGAGCTTATTAGCTATGCGGTTCTGAAAAGTGCATAGTTATCACTTCTCACCTGGTACTCTGTAAACACAGTATAATGTTTCGTCCGGTGTTTTTGCACTTTGAATTTGCACACTATGCCGCTGAAATGTCGGCATAGCGCTTAATTTGAATAGCGCTGGTTGCCGATGGTGATTCATCCATCACGAACTCAACGGACACTTCCTTGCTGACACAGTAGCATAAGGCCGATGTCATAGTTTGCGAATCGAGCGATTCGCTAGCGAATCGCTGGATCCGAGCGTTGCGCCAGCGAATCGAACGTTGCACCAGCGAGTCGAACTATGTACCAGCGACTCAACACTGTTTGAAAGTGGCGGGACCCAACGTTTAAAGGAAGCCCGCCACTTTCAAACAGTGTGGTCCTTAAAGTGGACTTCCTTTAAACGTTGGGTCCCGCCACTTTCAAACAGTGTCGAGTCGCTGGTACATCGTTCGACTCGCTGGTGCATCGTTCGATTCGCTGGCGCAACGCTTGGATCCAGCGATTCGCAAACTATGACATATGCCTAACCCTGCGACTGTGTGCATGAATGCGTAGTGTAAGGAGTGATGTATGGCTAAACTTGCTGGGGTGACTGAAAAGATGACCCAGTTGTTATTTTCACAGGTCTGGCGACCGGTTAGCTCTCCAATTGAGTTAAAACTACTCAATTTAATCTGTTGGAATTGTCTGAGCGTAACAAAGCGCGACGGATCTAGCAATCATGAGCATGTGTGCACGATATATTAATTTTAACAAACACGGAAGGCGGGACGATGAAGTGAACGCATAATCGGTTGTGCTCAAGAGGTAGAGCCTTAGAATCTTATGAACGTCATCAGTATCGTAGACGGATAGTCATGTCAGTTAGTTTTTACCCGTTAAGAGCCATGCTCCGTGGATCCGGTACCGATTCACGTAACATTCAGCGTAGCACTCACCAGGAAAGCCTTTCATGTCGGCCCCTCTTTTCTGGCACCCCTCTGGAAGCTAAACAGTAGCATAAAGAAGCTCAATACACTTTTGACACCAGTTTTCGATAAGAACCTACTAAAGCGCCAACCAAAATAATAAAATTTAGCGACCTCAGGGAGTCAAACTATGAGCCAACCTGTCATCACTTTTTTCAATGGCCACTCATGAAAAACCAAGCATAATTCTATGTTCCGTGAATTTGTCTGTACAACGCAAAAAAAGCACTTTTTCAAGCGGATCATGAAAGATCTTTCTGGTCAGTGTTCCGCCGACAGCTCAGCATCCGTGTGATAACTTTCACATGATCAACTGCAGTCAAAAGTGACAGCTTCCAGCAGTCAAAATCTAGTCGAAAATTCAAAATCATTTGTAGTGTTTGGGTAGAATAGGCCTCCCACATGTAACTGCAGCACTCGTGCTTCGGGTATAGGGTTATGACCGAGAGAGTTGAAATACAAAGCACACTGTTCCTGAGCCTCGAAAGCGGTGTTTTTAGTTTCGCTTCCCAGCAAACGTGTTGGTTTCTGTTCTGGAATTATGCTAAATTACATTTCTATCGAAAATTATCTGATTTCTAATCGTAATCACTAAGGAAATTCACTGCGAAATTTGGTGCCGTTACCTACTGGGAGCAGTGTGAATGAACAAGGCTTTCGACAGCTATTCCTTTTTTTTACTTTTTTATTTTTTATTTTTATTTCTTCAGGATAAGCCACTTAGTTCATTCAGGATCTCGCTGGCACTCAATTGCAATTGTGAACGTACAGTAAATTACGGAGGCAACAATTGCATAAACGCAATCGCAATCAAGTGCCAGTGAGAAGTGTAAGCAGTGCCGTCAAGGCCGATGTCATAGTTTGCGAATCGAGCGATTCGCTAGCGAATCGCTGGATCCGAGCGTTGCGCCAGCGAATCGAACGTTGCACCAGCGAATCGAACTTTGCACCAGCGAGTCGAACTAGGTACCAGCGACTCAATAGTGGCGGGACCCAACGTTCAAAGGAAGCCCGCCACTTTCAAACAGTGTCACGTGACAGTGGGCTGTTTGAAAGTGGCGGGACTTTGCAGTGGACAATGTTTGAAAGTGGTGGGCTTCCTTAAAGGAGGAATTCACGATTAGAATGAAGGTCGAAGAAAGGGAAACTGACCTAGTTGAGGGACCCACGGACCTCCTGAGGGTGCGAACTGACGCGCAATTCGCATGGAAAAATTTGACCTCGGCGACCTATCATGCCTCAAAGCTGGCGGGTCCGGCGATCTCCGCCCACCGATCATCTGATCACTCGCCGTAGTTCAATACGTGGCGAGTGATTAGATAGCTGAGAGAGCGTAGTGTTGAAGAGGGCACAGCGATGAGAGTCGCATCAATGCTCAAATCAACGGGCAAGGAAGGGGTCCCATTTCTCGGGTTCTGGGCCGTTTCTCATGGTTCTTCCTTCTTTCGTGTACCACTCACCATCCCTAGGTTAATTTGAAATGGGTTGCTTTTTCAGCGTGAATTCGTCCTTTCAAACCTTGGGTCCCGCTACTATTGAGTCGCTGGTGCAACGTTCGATTCGCTGGCGCAACGCTCGGATAAAGCGATTCGCAAACTATGACATCGGCCTAGGGCCCCACACAGGAATCCTCCATCAGTCAACTAACACCATTGGGAAGCTTCGTTGTCCTAGGCAATGCATGCTATGTTATATCCGGTATTTGACCCATGGATCATATGCCTGATCAGCAGTCCCGCTTGGCGCCAGACCACATCCACCTCATGGCTTGACAAAGCAGTAAAATGGAACTTCTTACTTGCCTTTAATTATACAGCTTTGCCAGAAAGTTTTCATGACTCTCGTTCTTCTGTTACCTATTTTCATCATCGATTCTGGACCAGATTAGCTAAACGTAGAAACCACTAGGATATTCCCCCACATCTCATCAGGGTGGACAGTTCCACGGTAAATTTTGGCTGCTGTTGAGTCTGAAATTCCGCTGCTGTTTGCCTTCGAAAGCAATCATCCCTGTTTTCATGTCTATATTCATAGTTTTCATTTGGCG